GTAAGAAAAAGTTTGATTCATAGAAATTGTGGCTAGAGGGTTGGATCTTGAAGGAAAAATGAGAGTGTTGAGTTGAGTGTTATTGATGCATTTTAACATGAATTGGTGATTTTGGTAAAGTTATTGTTGCATGTTGCTTATGTGGCTAGAAATGAATTGTTTTTGATGCATATGCATTGTTTCTACTATTAGATGTTGGGATTGTTTGAGTTTCAGGAGTAAGGAGCCAAAATCGCGAAAAAAAACAAAGGTGGTCTTTGTCATGAAATCGCTGAATGCCTTTTTGCATTTTGGAAACCACTGAGTGCTTTTTGTGTATTAGAAATAGGTGAGTCTTTGTCAATAAAATTGTCAAACACTTTTTGGATACCAAAATCAGGTGTGCTTTTGGAAGGAATTCGTGAAGTGATTTTGGAATGGCTAAATAGTTTGGTTATTTATAAATTATACTTTGTTGTCTTCATAAAAGTTTTAACCTTGAATGTTAACTTTCCAATGACATTGAAATCACCAAAAAAATGTCTAGAACTCTAGTTATGACATTTTTAGTGAGCAAAGGTCAACCGTCAGCATTTAAGTAACTGTTGTAGTTTTTACAATTTTCAACATGGTAGATAATGGAATTATAATCTAAGTTCTTCATGAAAGTTGTGGAAAATCATCTCATCTTTCATATGAGATAAGGATAAGTATAATAGAAGTAGTGTTTTGCCATAACCCCTACCCCTTTGAGGTTCAGGGTTGGTGAGCAAGTGTACCATCTCAAATATATTTTGACATTGACACACCAACTCGGGGGAGACAAAGATAACTAATAAATTGTCCTATTCTTAAATTAGGTCAGATTCAAACTAATCTCGTCGCCTAATAGATAACTAATTAAGCTAAGAATATGTGGTCGATAAGATTAAATCAATCTCTCATACTTAGTAAATGACTAACTAATCACACTTAAAGGAAGTCAAAATTAGTCTAATTTTGAATAATTTAACCCATAATCTTATCTTTAATAATCAAGATCATGTATCAAAATATGATCTCTAATGATAAGTAAATATCCTATCAAATTTTGAAATTATTGGAACTCATAATCTAGTCCATAATCTATTTTAACAGTAATTTCATATTCCAATTTTTTTTTCAAATAAGTTGTGAATAAAATAATTTAATTATATAAAATAGTCAAAATTAGAAAATACTTTTATAGAAGAATAAAAGAATTAATTTCTAATCAAATTTTATATTTTTTATCATCTTATCGCTATCATTTTCGTTAATATTTTTATATCAATCATAGTATTTTTATGAAATTTAATCTTTGTAATTATTTTAAAATTATATTTTTTTAATCAAAATTTAAAGTATATTAATTTAATATAGTTTTTATTTTTTAAATTAATAATCTTATAATAATACTTATGTGTATATATATATATATATATATTTACATAGCTGTATAATCTTATATACTAAAAAATTAATTATAAATAATATAATAAAATATATAATTATTTAAATTAAATTTAATTATTTTAAAATATAAAAAAATTAACACTTTGACCGAAATATAAAACAATAACTTTAATGACTTGTCATGACTCTGTTCATATATTCAAATATGTGTAATTATATATGTTGTAAGTAATTAATTTGAATAAATTAATGATTTTACTATATATATATATATAT